ACGGATTCGAAAAATAGCTCGCCCGTGCCGTTCCTTTGCCTAGGACTTTCCAACCACCGAATAGTTGGGCTGCTTCATGGAGTTTGAGACCGTCGAGTAGGTGTTGGGCCGTGTGCTTCCCAAAATGTGATGTGCCTTTTCTGACGGAATTCTTGTCCATGGGAGGGTATCTCTTCCAGATGGATTCTAACATCCCTGTATAGAAATTGGAGACGGCTGGTCCTTTGGCGGAGATGGAAGGCATGAGGGTGCTGTCAGCGCCTTGGAGGAATAGGGAGAGGCCTATCGCGACAATGGGGTCTCCGAAGAGTTCGTGTTTGTTTGGAATCAACGGGTCGTGATCGTCAACGCCTAGTTTGTCACGAACTAAGAAGCATTGTAGGACGTGGTTCACGGATCCTTCACGGAGTTCTCTCACGGATAGGCTTCGTACGTCGATTCTTGATGTCTCAGCTCCTCTGCTGCAAAGTCTGAGTAGGGCTGTCTGGAAGAGGTAGAAGTCAATGTAGGATTTCATGTTGAACCAGAGGCATCGTTGGAGGATGAATGCGATGTCTGAAGCAGTGTAGACTTTCTTCTTCGGGGGGAGGGGTGACATCTTCTTGCGGTTGGTGATCATTGTCTTCATCTTTTTAAATGCTGGGACGTAGGTGGTTTCGATGACTTTATTGAATCGGGATAGGATGAGTTTTTTCATCAACTGGTTCTTGATCGCCGGCATGTATCTTTCCAAAGTTCCCAGTGCGTAGTCTTCTCCTGTGGTTTTCTTGAGGCTAAACCAGAAGGCGGGTTGGCCGTCCCAGAACGCAAACCACCATCGTGTTACGTCCTCATTTTCATTCGAGGAGACTCCTCCGGTTTCTTCTAGGTCGGTGTATTGGATTCGAGGTAGCTCTAGCTTGTCCTGGAGGGAGTCGAGATACGTTTGGATTAAGGCGGCGGTGCTGTTGTGTTTCGCTTGGTTGGATTTCGATGAGGATGCGTAGTAGTTAACATCGATCGAATCCAACGGTGTAAACACCATGGTGGTCGACGGGGTGTTGGGCTTTCGGTGGTCTCTCGGGCTCGGAAATAATGAGCTTTGGATGGAGGTTTGACTTGCGAAGCATGCATGGCACACCGGAGGTGCTGGGCTATGCGGGAGGCAAAGATTTGGATTTTTTTGATTCGCGTCATGCTGGGGAGTGGAATCAGAATTTCTAAACTACCGGATAACGGCTGGAGGTGTGGACGTTTCGATTATCTAAATATTTCCGGGAGGAACGGGTGGGGACCGTTTCTCGTGACTTGATCTTGGAAATAGCGCGAACTTAGAAAATCGCCTTGGTTGCGGTCTTATCCATGCCTTTCCTATTGCGAAACAGCTATGACCGAGGTACAGTCCTCGGAACGATGCAACAGGCTCACATATTATTATTATTATTAAGTTCAGAAATTGCATTAAGGCTTTTAAGAGGCATGCCCGGTGCTTATTGTCTTATTGTCCCCAGGCCTCCTTTCTGAACGGATGTGACCTCGCGAATTCGCGAAGTCTACCGGTATGTCTCATGAGTCAACAAAGAATGATCGAATCGATTCAGAACTCAAAAGGATGACAAACCATGGTACCAAGCTACTGGCTCCAGTACTACTAGCTAGCTATCATACATGTAGTACAACTGCAGCTATCACTAGCTAGATGACCGTCTGTATTCTTGCGGAAGCAGCTTGCCCTGGAGGCTATTGTGAACGATTCGATTGACTGTCATCATTCATCCATCACGCTTTCGTCCCAAAACTCTTGGCTTCTAAAGAATGATTGGTGAAATTTGTTGAATCGAATCGAATCGAATCCAATTGAATCTAGCTGGTTTCAAAGGGGGAGATGCACCTTGTGACTGTTTCTTAATTTGTACAGTATTGTCACGAGCTTGAAACTAAAACGTAAAATTTACACCAGTCCTGAAACTGGCCTGTTTCCGGACGGTGCTCCAATCACCGAAGGATTCGATTCTTTTCTTTTGACGGCTTGGAAGAAGCTTTCACAACAGTAAGGCTTTCATGACAGTACGCCTGAGTCGAGTGGAGTCCAGTCGAGTCGAGTCGAGTGGACTCGACTCCTCAGTCGAAGGCCAGCTTTTTGGCGTTGCTAGTCCAACTTGGACTTTATGGGGGGGTTAGGCATGAGCGCGGGGGAGGGAAAAGAAGAAGAAGAGGGAGAGGGTTAACCTTTGGATTCCTGATTCCCGTTTGAGAGCCTGCAGGGCAAAGATCGAGTCATTGTGAGAGTATGCGATATCGTTGTGAGAGGGGAAACGGCAATGACTATGGTCATCGCCCCTCACCTCTAAGTCTCGTTTGTCTGAAGAACAAGAAAATACGTCAGGAAGTAGAGGTTCGTTGATGTAATTCAAATTGATTCAACGGATATTCCGACTGGCTCCCAATCCTTCGCTCGAACCAAACCCTCCCATTATTTTCGAAACTCACCAGATTGATCGGAACCTGTTGCTGGTGAGTGTTGTCGGTGTTGTTGTTGGTTGTTTGTTGTTGTTGCTGTTGTTGTTGTTGTTGTTGTTGTTGTTGTTAGCCACAATGGCGACCATGGCATGCTACTAATCGTTCTATCGTCCCCGTTCTACAGACACTCCTTCCTCTACCGACACCGTGACTCCTTCCTCTACCGACACTCCTCTACGGACGATCCTTCCTCTACCGACGCCGCTGCCTCTACCGATACCGACCGTGACTCCTTCCTCTACCGAAACTCCTCTACGGACGATCCTTCCTCTACCGACGCCGCTTCCTCTACCGATACCGACTATTTTGTCTTGAAGTCAGCGACTACGTGGGTAGGGGCAAGTACTCTTGGCAAGACGGATCGGCGTCGCTCCACGAAGAACAACAATTCGACCATGAGGATCGCAACTACTTCTCCCGCTTTCTCCAAGTGGCTGCAAAGTGTCAACAGATACCCATTCAATGAGCTGAGAGTTACAAGGCATGGATTCACTTGCAAGTATGTCATTTGTGGGTACAACAGTGATGATGAGGATAACTTCTGTTTGGCCACAACCAGCATGGAAGTGACCGTTCTTGAGGAGTTGATATTGCAAGGAGCATGCAAGCCACTACCTCCTGCCATGACCGACATCATGGATTACATGTTAGCTTCAGGCCTTCAGAAAAGTCCAAAATGGTACAGAGCTGTCATCTCCACCCTCTCTGAAATGCTGGAGTCGCCGTCGCCACATCCCTGTGAAAGGAAGGACATCTTCATTGAGTGCATCTATTGGTTAGTGAGGGAAAGGATCAGTGAGAGCTATGAGGTGTCCTCTCTTGAAGGACAGTTTTATATGGATGCTTGGCATTTTTATTGTTGCCACTGGTATGACTACAAGAAGAATATCTACAAGAAGAATATTTCCTTCCAGGAATTGGCTGAGATGAGTGAGACTATGGTTGTTGATTTCATTGGCAATGATTCAGATGATGAGTGAGACTATGGTTGTTGATTTCATTGGCAAAGTTACTGAATTGAAATGTAAGTTAATATCTAGATTACAATGATGCAACAATGCTACCCATTCTGCTGACCATATCAACTGTATTGAGACCGGCAATAGGCGTCATGTGGTGGTCTTCCTCTCCTGCGAGTCAACCACTGGCAGTATCTCTGACAGCAGCCATTCGGTGGAGGAGGTGGCTGGAAAGGAGATGGCAGTATTGGTTGGAATTGCTGCTGCATTAAGGCAAGTTGCATCATTTGAATCTGGTGTTGTTGCTGATATAGAATCAGGTTACCAATGTAAGAATTTCTTGTTTGTGCTACAGGAGGAGCTGCTTGTGGAGGTGGATTGGGTGGTGGAGGTTGGAGCTGTGGAAACCGGTTGTGGTTGTGGTTGTGGAACTTGTTGTGGTTGAGGTTGTGGAACGGTTGTGGTTGTGAAGCTTCAACTGGACTGGTGCACAATCTACACAAGCAACAATCATTTGGTGAGTACTTCTGCCTGTGAGGTTTGAATCCAACAATGTACTCTGAAAAGAATCTTTCTCCATTATCCTCTGGCAGTGGTTCTGCATTTGGAAATGGTGCATCCAGACCAACAGCCTCTGCCATGTCATTGAGGTAAGCCAACTCTGAATGGTTCCAGTAAGGAACAACTTCTCCCATCCAGCTGGAATTGACTTCCTTTCTGCCTCGCTGATTCTTGACAGGAAGGCTCTCTTGTGGCGAATCTTGAGGTTGTATCTAGCAGTGCCAGCAAGATTGAGTGCATCAGCAAGAGTTCTTCTCATTCCACCATTGCCAAAGTGAGCAAACTTGTCATGGAAAGCCTCTAACTTTGACTCTCCTCTCCTTGATAGGTACTCTGGAAGCTTGTGCTTTGAGTTGGGAGATGGCTTGATTGTGTCATACATTTGCTCCATTGGTAGTGGATCAGCCAAGTGATGGCTTTCTCAATGCAGTTGTCTACTGCTTGCTTATTGGGGCTTGGTGTCTGGAGTGAAAAGGTAAATTTCTTGACAGGTCCAGTCTTCCTTGGCCAGGTTGGCTGCCCTCACTGGCTGTCACCTTGTACCTGCAGAACCACTGTTGAATCTTCTGCCTCATTGTTTCTGGTTGTCTCATCCTCTTCCTTAGGTACTTGGAGTATCTGTTACTGAAGACCTTGATGATTGCAGTCTGAGATTCCACCATGGAATAGTGTTTGCCATCAGCTGATAGGAGACCATGTTTCAGAGCATAGAGAACCTTCTCAAAGTCTTCTGGTAAGTACTCATAGAGGGAATCCAAGAGAGCATTCAAAGCTTCGAAGTAGTCAATGTGACCCTCCTCAAAGTTGACAGAATCCTTTTCTCATAATGGAACAGGCCAAGTCTTCCCTCGATACCTGGAAAGAGCAGCTCCCAATAGTCATCCTTGTGGGCCAGGTGTCGCTGTACATGGCAGCTGGATTGAAGTTGCTCCTCCTTGCTAGCTGCATGGCAGCATGGGAGAAGTGGATGGTCTGGTGGTGGGAACAAGGACTGCAGAAGCATATCTCTCCAGTCTCACTGGCAGCATCCCAAACAGCCACTGCTCCAACCTCTCTCTTCATGTAGTTCTTGACTGGCTGGAAAGTGTGGTCTTGACAGAAGATACCCTTGTTGCAAGCTACACTCTGGATCTCTCTGGTGTGCCTCGTGTTGTCACTGATCCTCATGGGTTTCTGTTGGATGCAGCAGCCTTATCGAAGAGGTCACGGATGGTGTCACCAAGAGGGGGATATTGTCTGATGTAAGTCCCATCCTTTGGAAGGAATGGTGGAGGATCCGTCTCACGTCCTTGCCAATATGAAAAGTATGACATCATGGCTCTCAGATACTCTCTGTTTCATTGCGTTGTAGAGGAGCCGACTGCAGAGGTCACCATTACCATATGTAACCATTATAGACGCAAACACTTCAGTTGCTGTTCTGTCTAGGTGATAGTCCTTCTTAGCAAAGGCATACTTTGATTCGACTGGATAGAGCAAGGAAACATGCTCTGGGATGGACACCAGGACCTCTGCTTGGTTGGAATCAAATCTCCTCTTGCAGCAGCTGCAGACCATGGAC